ATAGAAATGTAAAACTTTCATATTCCTTTTAAAAAAAGTTTGTATTTGGCAAGCTAAAACTTACATGAAAAGAAGTCATGTGAGTTTGGAGAAATTTGAAATATTTTTGGCTGCTATTAATTTAGATGGGTTTTTAGAGGAGATGAGTGTTGGGATAAGCTTTGAAGGAATATAGAGAGCATTTAAAGGGAGGGAATGGTGAAGGCAAGGTTGTAGGAGTAGAAATGTGCGATTTATTTTTTGACTTTGGAGTAGATCATTTGCTCACATAAGGGGATTAATATATTAGAGCTAAACCGAGGGGTCTTGACTGCTAGGCTAATGATTCTCTATATGCAGGTGATAGGGACTCATTGAATATTTTTGAGCAAGGGGTTGATATGATTAAAAAGGTATTTAGGAAGATTAATCTAGACAGAAGGTAGAATGTGGATTGGTGTACAGAGAGACAGGAAGTAAAGACACCCATTAGAAAGATTGTTTCTAGTAATCTAGGTATGAAGTAGTTAATGCTTAAATTTGAGAGTGGCAATAAAAATGGAAACTTGGATGCTTTATTAAAACATGAATGTCTTCAGTCTGTCTTTTAAAGCAGTCTGCCTGTTGATGTAAGTACTACTAAAATGCATCTAGGCGGCTAAAGAAAAGAAAAGCTGAGTAACTTAAACTCTTGGTCAATGTAAGTGCAGTATTTTAAGAAATGTAAAACAGATTTCTTCTGCTTTGCTGTACTTGATAACATTTAGCTATTAACAGGGACAACAACAACAAAAACGTCCCTGAAGCTTTAGTATTAACATGTGTTTCAAATGTTTAAAAAACATAAAGAAATATAGCAAATGATAAATACAAAGTGGAGTGCCAAAATAAACTATTTTATTTCTTTAGATTTTATGCTTCCAGTTTTTTATTTTCTTAGTCAGTTTTTGGAATCCGCTTAGCTTAGTGGTAATATCTAAATTCCTTCTAAATACAAATCTTGTTATTTTATGGGGGTTTTGCTAGCATTTTATTTAAAAATTTGAGCTTTCTTATGGTGATAGTTTCCTAAATGTATTATTTAAATGATTTGTATTTTTTAAAATGAATAAAAGTTATTTATTACCTGTTGTTAAAGTGAGATGTCCAACTTAAAATAGACTTAAAAGAAAAATGTAGTGACACAGTCTCTCTCCGTCACCCAGGCTGGAGTGCAGTAGTGCCGTCATAGCTTATTGCAACCTTGAACTCCTGGGCTTAAGCAGTCCTTCTGCCTCAGCCTCCTGAATAGCTGGAACTACAGGTGCATGCCACAATGATGAGCTAGTTTAATAAATATTTTGTAAAGGTGAGATCTCTTTGTGTCGTCCAGGCTGGTCTTGAACTCTTGGATTTAAGTGATCCTCCCCTCGGCTTCCCAAAATGCTGGAATTATAGGCATGAGTCACTGTGCCTGGCCTGAAATAGACTTTCTTAGACAAACTGATCTGATATCACTTGTAAGAGCTTATCACTTTTTTTTCTTTAAGATCTCTTTCATACACCAAACACCAAGATATTTTTTTCTATCATAAATTGATATAAATAGTCTCTATTAGTTATGTCATAAGCTAGGCTGCTATTAACAATGAAATGTAAACCCTCAGTAGTTCAAACAAGGTAGAATTTTATTCATCTGTCATTTAACAATTCAGAGATAGTCAGATGGTCAAGAGTGAGTTGATGCCTGTGTTCCACAAGGTCGTTCAAGAATCCAGGTTTCTTTTGTTTCTCAGCCATCTACTGTGACTGCATTTTTCAGTAGTCACATGCGGCTATTGATATTTACATTTAAATTAACTTAAATAAAATAAAAAATCTACTTGCCACATTTTACGTCCTTCATAGACATGTGGCTGGTGGCTACCGTTTTAAACAGTCCAGATGTCTCATACCTCCGTCATGGTTAGTGCCTTATAGAGTGTTGTTCCTGTCCTCATGATGTTTGCTAGCTCATTTTGGCCTGTCCAAGTTCTAGTTTGCAGGGAAGGAGAATAAGAGGAGGGAAGAGAGGAAAGCATAGTTCTGTTATACATGATCCCCCAAAGGCACACTTTGCTTGTGCTTGCAGACCACTGGCCAAAATGTAGTTATATGCCAGCACCTCTCTTCAGGGGCAGCTAGGACAAGTCACTAGCGGAGTGAACTGGATCCTGCTAAAACTTGGCTTAGTTGAGTGTTGGATGAGGTCAGGAATCCTATTACCAAAAGGAAGAAAGTAAGTTAAATATTAGAGGGCAGTTGACAGTGTAGGTCACATGTACTCAAGCTATTAATTAATGATCACAGTAAAGTTTCTTTCCACCCCTAAACAAAGTGACCAGGAAGCAGCATGGATAAAATGAACCTTGATTTTAAATGGCCATGCTGATATTAACCTGAAATTATAAATGATTTTTACTGCCTTATTTGAATTATGTCTTAAAGTTTAACAAAATTAACCTCATGGCCATTTGAGCTTGCAGGCCATATTTTTGAGCATGGCACTTTTTCTGTAATGTGTTACCTCTCTGACTTGCATTGTTGGATGAAGATAATTTTGTGTTATGTGATTACAAACAAAGGACTAAAGAGCTTTTATCTCTGTGTTATTTTATAGATGTTAAAAAATAATTTTAAATATTGTGATGGTGGGCAACAGTGTAAAGTACAGAAAGTAGTAGGTGGTGGTTTAGTTATTTCTTTCACTTCTCTTAAATGTGCATGTCCTCTTTCTCCCTCTGTATATTATTAATAAAGGTTATGAAATATTTAAGGCTTATAATGAAAAGCAGTTTCCCACATCATTTTCGATCCCCAGTGTTATTCTTTGAGACAAATACTTTGAATATTTATGTTTACAACTTCCATGTTTCAAAACAATCTGCCTACATTCAATATTTGTTTCTTTTTTAGGAATTATGAACTGATTACTGTAACAAAAATTAATTTAGCTAATATATTGTTTCTCTTTTTCTTCTTCTTTTTTAAATTTTTTTCTGTTAGTTTTACTGTTTCTTAAACCTCTTTCACATCCATTCAATTAAAGATGGTATCTCTTGACTTTCAAATTAGCAATTAAGGATTGTATTGTTTCTAATCTTCCATCCTGGTATCTTTCCCATTTCTACTTCCCAATTTTTGTCATCTCTTCCTTTTAAATTGCAGTAGTCAAATATATTTACATTAGTCTCTATAACTATAATTAAGCCTTTTAGCTTTGTGTATTCCTGGGCTCTAAAAATTGTAACTAGTAACAGTTTAATTTTGTACGACTACATAAATATTTTTAACTGAAAAATTAGTGGCAGAGTAATTACAATTTTTAACACAGTTTTATTGTTTATAATTTAGTTTCAGATTTCTGCTTTCCCTTTTCATTTCTTGCACTTAAAAAAACTTCTGTAATTTCTGCCAGTGTATCAGTCATACTCTCTATCCTATACACTGCATTTTTTGCCAGCTGTTTCTGCCTGGATTCCTTGTTCCCTTCTCTTCTGTTTTGTCAGCCAGTGCTCTTTTTTCCTAAAAACTCTACATTTTCCTAAATGTTGTTGAAAATTTGTTTTAATTAATACTATTCCTTCTTGTTTTTTTTCTTTTTGTAACTGTAGGTTTATACCTTTTAAACATTTCCTTATTTTTGAATAATTAATTTTTTAGGAATTAGAGAATATAAATGCATGTGCTTAACATCTTGAATCTGAAGTGTGGCAGTTTTAAGAGTCAGATATCAATGTATCTGAACTTTAGAGTCATGTGATAAAAATGCGGTAAAGATTCACATTCTGGTTTTATTTTTTGGAGGTGAAGGGTTTACAGATATAGCTGAAAGAAATTGTTATTTTTATGTGTATAAAACACTTTCTAGATTAGTTTTACATTCATTTGTTTTCTAAGCCCCTAAACTTTTTAATACAATTTCCATTCTATTTTTGAAGATAGATATTTTCAAATTTAGATATATTTTCATTACATTTTTTCACAGCTACTACATTGTGCATGTCTTGAAATTAGCCCATTTTATCATTATACAGTATCTAAATGGCATATAGTGATATTAAAAAATATGTTTCCTAAGTTAGGAGGCTTATATTCTGAATTCCAATAGGTCTTAGCATTAGTCTGGTTGATAAGTTTTGCAATACTCTTAGATTACTTTTTATCTTTACAAGAGAATACTATTGTAAAAATGTCAAAAATATCCACATGCTCAGTTTACTAGTAAATATACTGCTAAATTTGAACGTTTTTGACGGTAGCTTATGCTACTCAAGAGACCATGTTTTTACAGAATGTTTTATTTCAAAGGCATGGGTTTTCATTGTAGAAAATTCATGCATTTAAAGTAACTTAAAGCAAAAACAGTTGTGCTTGTGCCATATGTTTAGAGTATTAGTCATCTTGCATCCATGAGTAGGTTAAGTTTCAGAAGCTATGTATTGTACAAAAAGAAAATTTATTGTTAGGAGACCAGTCTGTACCTGTGCTTATACAGCATTTTCCTTAGAGGATCAGTTTGAATATATGAACAAATATCAGCTAGATTTTGTATGGTAACATTATTGATAATATAGGAGAAGCTCATTGAGGAGAAAAACAAAGGAAGCATAAAAGTCTCATACTGTACGAAACTAAGAAATGGATGAAAGAGTTTGACAGGAAGTTTAATGTGTACATAAGTAGAGGCTGACAGGAACATGCTGTGTGTGCCAAAGGTTCCAGTGATGGAAAACTGAAACATAGTGCTCACTGACCACAGCATGAGCCTTGACACACATTGTAAATAATCTAGAGATATATGACTGCATTAAGTGCTAGGCTGGTGTATTAACGGCAGTAAATCTATAGAGCAGAAAGGGTTGCATGCAGAAATTCCTCTGATTAATTTTTGTAATGGATTAATAGGAATATAGTAAATATTTTCATTTTGAATTCTACCATCTCTAATTCCCTTCTCCAGCCCTCCCTGGTGTGATCGTTTTTTATTCTCTGCTCACCAGACTTGTATATGTGGATACTTCCTTCAAAACCATCAAGTTAAAAGCAGAAGATGCTTCTGGTAGAAAGCATTTAATCACTCTCAAGTTGAAGGCAAAGGTATGTGCCTCATTAAACTGTTATTGTGATCAGTAAATACTTTGTGAAATGAACTCTGTGAATGCTCTCAATGTAAAGAAGTGCTAGCTAGTTGCTTCTAAAAATACGTACATGATGCTTTAAAACATTGATTTTGGAAAGCTTTGAGGCTTTATTCACCAGGTTTCCAAAAGCCTAGACAATTTCATGTCATATTTTAGTCCAAATTTGATCAAAATACAGACTTTATGACAACTATTACAAATACCATTCCATAGCCTCAGAGTATCATATTGTTAATTTTGTAACATCCTGTGTGGAAGACAGTCGACACTTCGACTATCCCAAGTTGTCCTGAGAAAATCTTTTGCATTTAACTGTTACTATAAATTTCTTTGGTAGTTCTTATTCTTACACTGATCCCCACTCCCTACCACAGACAAGTATGCATTTTTTTTTTTATAGTTTGTTTGCTTTTGCTGGGGTTTTTTTGGCTTAAGTATTTTAAGAATTTGCAGAGGTTATGCCTCTGTTTATAGATCCCTTATAGGACAGTGATCTATAATCACAAATTTTATTGGCACAAAACATGGTTGTTTCATCTTTATTTTTTAGTTCTAGATTGTGAATTTGGACAAATAAGTAGAAAAAACAAGTTCAGCATATTAATCATTTACTTAATCACTGGGGAAACATTAGAATTTGGAGAAAACCAGGATGTCCAACTTTTTTTTTATTGTTCCTAGAAGTCATCAATCAACTCTATTTCAGAAGATTGTAGTGATGAAAAGATCAATTGTGTTTGTCCTTTTTAAAAATGTGTCTGGCATTTAAGCTTTTCACAAGAGAAAATTAATATATAAAGCTGTACTGGATGACATAGAAAAGTTGATATCTTATAGTGGTTCTATAACAGACAGGTTGAAAAATGACTTGTTCTTTCTCTCACACAGAATATGTAGGTCTAATTTTAAGTTCCATATACAGTAAGTGTTGGAAAAAATTAGTGGGATAGAAATCTCATTATTTGTTAAATAAGTTAGATAACTATTTTGATTACATTTAAAAGATTTTTATTTTCCTTTTTAGTTTATAAAAGTGCACTTTTTTTTTTTTTAAGAGAAATTTGTCTTTATCCTTCTAAAAGGTTACATGTTGCCGGTGGCAAGGGTTCTGTTATTTCCTTCAAAGCTCTATTTGTTTATATTTTGTACCTCAATAAAATTTGCCCTCTTTCTGTGAAGACCAAAGCTAAACATTTCATCCTGTCCTCATTTTTACAAGCTCTTCTACTTCCTAAGAAGATGATGCTATAAATCTGTGCTGCCTTTAACTTCACCTATGAGATTATTAATCCAAGATGATGACACTTCATTTATTGGTAATATTCAGAATGAGGATGTGACAATTTAATGTGGTCCATTTTGTCTGCTTTTTTCTTATACCTTTTCAAGGTAGATATGATGATGCTTTTGGTATTTCTCTGGAGAATATTTTCCAGGGTCACTTTTGCAACATCTATAGTTACGAAGCACTTTCATGGATACTCTCTCAAAAAGAAGAGGAAGCTTTATTTGAACAGGGAAGGAATTTAGGCCAAAAAGGAAAGTAAAGTTTGTTTTGGGGGGGGAAAAAAAAAGCATGTAATGGAATTTTATATTGGTATGATTTATTAGAATCTTTTTTGGTCAATTTAGTTTAGCTTTTATATATACCACAGTTGTCTTTGAGATGTGGTAATTTCTTCTTTTTTAGGGAAAAAAAAAAAGAAATCTTTTTTTTTTAGGGGAAAAAAAGAAACTGGGCCGGATTGTCAGTCTTTTTTTAGAGAAAAAAAGAAATTGGGCCTGGGATTGTCAGTCAAACACACTAATAGCTGAAACTATATTTTAAGAATATATGATGCAAAATCTTAATCCAAACTAAGCTTTAAGTGGAATACTAAAATTTTTTCCAATTAATAACATACCTTAAAGCAGACTTTTTTTGACAAATGTACAAACCTGTGTTTCTGTTATTTGATTTTTTTAATATATGGTAAATAAATGCATTTGTTTTATTTATTTTAGAATACATATTCTCCCAATTCTACCACTTCCCCTCACCGTCTCAAAGAAACTCACAAAGAAAACAAATACCCATTTTGACTAGATATCCTTTATTAAAGATAAATATGTAAATAAAAAATAAGTAGAAGTCAACCAGGTGAATTTTGTGTTTTTTTATAGGTACATTTTATATAATACTTATAGTGCATCCTGAACTGTGGGATCGAATTATCTTTGCTTTACGAAAAAAGTAGCCTAGGGCTTCTTCAGCTTTGGTCCAGATCAGAACTGCTTGAGAAACAAATCACAAATATGTATCAGAGGGTGGGCACTCTGTCTCTGTTACAATTTGTGTGTATTCACTTGTGGGTCAGCCTTACTGCTTGGGTAGTTCAGTCACAGAACAGACTTGGTTAAAATTTGTCTTAGAACAATATATTAATACTATAGAGTCTAAAAAATGTTGTGAGTGATAAAAATATATACTTATGTAATCATTATATTTTTTTGTAGTTATTTCATTTGATTTTCTGCAAATGAGATTTAGAGAACTGTGTTTTACTTGAAAATAATTAAATATTATACTTATTTTTCAGTTAATATTCCTATATGTGGAGCTTTTGTTGTTGTAAATTACTTTTGAAAGTAAAGTTTTGATAATTAGTTGCTGGTAGTTTTATATACACTTAGACAACTTTCTATTGAAAACTTAATTTTGATCAAGTTACTTATATGGTATTTAGTCATCTACATTGTAGTTAATACTATTATAACTTAGAAACTATTCTGAAAATGAATATCTAGGATACTAGTTTATATTTTAATATTTATGATAAATCATCCAGACATATAAATACTCTTTTTAAGTTTGTACTATGATGTGAGGTTTGTGACATGACAAGTATTCCTTTAACTCAGATATGAAGACGTTTGCATAAAGATCATTCTAATTTATTATATATATATTGTATTACAAATGTAAAAATATATTTGAAAGATGTCATTATCTGAGAAACTACATACTGGACTCATTTATATATGTAGGATCACATATTTATTATAACTTGCTTTTTTGTTTAACTATTTGTGGTTCTCTTTCCATATCAGTGTATCATTGATACTGTTTACTATACTGAGTCCTAGTTGAATGTAGGATCTTACCTTCTTTCAGTGTAATGAGCTATGTATGTACTTAATGAGGCCACAGATATTTTACTTTGTGTATCTACTCCAAATACAGTTAACATTTCATTAATTTGTTACTCTATCTAGATTGATGATTCATGTAAATTAAAGAGTTGATATTGTTCATTGTCAGCATTACCAAGATAAATAGCAGCAACTCAAAATGAATTAAATTTTCCATTTTTGACCCATAGAGGTTTCAAGTGTACTTTAGGTTATTTTTAAAGAATCCTGACATTTTAGAGGGAAAAGAGATTTTGTAACACTTACAGTTGAGTTCTGTCATTTTTACATTTGAAACAGCCAGAGAAATTAAATGACTTGTTCAAGATCATGTAAGTTAATTAGCGGAGCTGGAACTGAAGAAAGCTGAGGTCTCTGTCTACATTTACTTTGAGATAATCATGATTTTTAAATATGGTGTACAAATTGTTTTTCCATGATTATAGCAGTGATACTCTGAAGTACATCATCTGATATTTTTAATTGTCTGAAATAGAACTTCCTCTTTTAATCTCAGCATGATCTTTTTTCCCCTAAAGTAGCCCTGGAATATTTTTATATGGTTTCTTATATATTTGCCTTTGTGTTAATTAGTTCTACATAGCCAGATAACATTAATCAGAGTGTATATTGATAGTAAGTCTTTTTAGCCATCTGATCCTTGTACTTGTAGCTAAATGTTAATTTTTTTGAAAGTGATTTCAAATGTTTTTTAAATACTACAGTGATTTTTTTGTTTTCTTTTGCTTACTCATCGGAGAAATGAAAAATAAGAGGCTGAAAAAAGTGAAAGCCTTAAACTTATTTAAATATTTTGTCAAGTGAAACTCTTCCCAAAACTATTTTTCTTTCATTACATTTGGCTTTTTAAAAATGGAAAGAAATGGGATTTTTTTTTTTTTTTTTTTTTTTTTTTTTGAGGTGGAGGTTTGCTTTCCTTACCCAGGCTGGAGTGCAATGGTGCGATCTCGGCTTACCGCAACCTCCGCCTCCTGGGTTCAGGCAATTCTCCTGCCTCAGCCTCCCGAGTAGCTGGGATTACAGGCACGCGCCACCATGCCCAGCTAATTTTTTGTATTTTTAGTAGAGACGGGGTTTCACCATGTTGACCAGGATGGTCTTGATCTCTTGACCTCGTGATCCACCCACCTCGGCCTCCCAAAGTGCTGGGATTACAGGCTTGAGCCACCGCGCCCGGCCAGAAATGGGAATTTTTAATTACATGTGACTTTGAAGACTCAGAATTGGATTTTAGAGAAATCATGAAGTACGATTCTCTAATAAGTTGATTTTAAGAAAAATTACCTTTTGCCTTTGTTAACTTAGAAACTTGATTTGTCCTCATGACTGCCATTTTTTGTATGACTAGTTGAAGAAATAATTTTGTATTTACCAATCTTGCAAAGGTTTTTCTTGCTAAAAACCATGTTTTATTTTTTCCTAATAAGCCAGAAGACATTTCATTGTTTCTTTTTATTTACCTTTTTGCTAAAATTAATATCTTTAATATGGAAAATAATTTTTTTAAGTTGACAGCTATATGTATTTATTTTTGGGTATTTCTTCTTTTAACTGATATTGCCTATTTAAATAGTGACTGATGCTATTTGAAATTAAATTTCAGACTAGAAGAAAATTAAATTAAGTATCAACTCATTTAACTTCTTATTTTAAAGATAAACAGAAATCCAGTTTGGTTTATTTCTCAAATCATAACTTCAGCAGCTGACACAATACTGACTTAATTCATTACCTTTTACTCAACACTGATTGCTTTGGCACTTCCAAATCACCAAACTTGTACTTCCATAAGTTGTCTGTAAATCAGCTCTTCACATCACTATTAAAGTACAGCAAAAATACTTATATATAATACATCTGCAGTTACAGTACTATGTTTTACCCTAATATATCTAGTTTCCCTAAAATACCTCATGTGATATTAACACACAGAAGCAAAAATGGTCTAATTTTATGCTTTTTTCATAGTATCCTGCAGAATCACCAGATTGTTTTGTGGATTTTCCTGTTTCATTTTCTGCTTCCTGGACACCTCAGGTAAATTCTTCTCAGGTAAATTCTTAAATTTGTTTTAAATAATTAAACAGTACAGTTGTCCCTCAGAATTCATGGGCGATTGTTTCTTGGGCCGTCTGTAAATACCAAAATTCATGGATACTCAAGTCTCTTAATGTACAATGGGACTTTGTCTATATCCTATGCACAATCTTCCGTATACTTTTTAATGCAATGTGTGTGCCATGTAAGTAGTTGTTATACTGTGTTTTTAAGTAGTTTTAGTATTTATTTATTTTTGAATATTTTATGTCTGCAGTTGGTTGAATCTACAGATGTGGAATCCTTGGATAGGGCCAAATGTAACTCTTTACTCAGGTAGACATTATAGGTTATGAAGTAATCTTTTTTTTTTTTTCAGTTTTCTCTAAGCATTTATTTGTAAACAGACCTTCTGTAATTCTTTTTTTATTTTTTATTATAGTTAACGTCTATTTTCTCTTTCTCTCTCCACACACAAACACCCACTCACACCCATACCCACACATAAATACACACGGGTGCGCATACGCACACATGCATGCTCTCACTCTCCATCCAGCCTATAGATATTTATGCTTCATTTTCAATAAACATGCAGAAATACTTTTGACAGACATTTTCTTTTAAATTTAAATTCTAAAGAACTCTGTAGAAAGCGTGAATGGTAACTGAAAAACTAAAATTTTTCATACTGTTATAACTTTAACATTGATTACATAATATCGGAGAATCCTTTTCAGAGAAGAATGATGACTGAAAATGTAAACTTTGCCATTTCTACTCCATTTTTATTGTTTTAAAGTGTTTGTCCTTAGTTTATCTTTGAACTTTGACTATATATTCTTTTATTTTGTGATTTAGAACATTCAATGTTTTCAGTAAAGAATACAGAAGATTCTCTTGCCTCTATCAGTTGAATTTCTCAGTACATTATTGATATTAGCAAGATGTTTTTTAGAAGTGCATTATAAACTATAACATTATAGATATAACATGGTATAATTATCAATATACTGTCATCACCATTTCATGTTTGTGCTATTTAAGGATGTGACACAATGTGATTGGTTAGGGTATGGTTCATCTTTCACCAAGTAAATTGTGACAGTTGATAGCAAAATGGAGACAGCATTTTTATTCTTACACAAAGAGAAAGAACATTTCTAGAGACATTTTACAAATATTCTGTAAATGGAGGCTACTCATTTTGGCTGTAAAATTTTGGTTAGATTTAAGTAAAAAGTTATGCCTTTATTTTAAAATATAAATGCATGAGTAAGGTAAATATATAAGAAATTAGTAAAAAAATAAAAAGCCTAATAGGATTTAAATAGTCTTATCAAGGCCAAAATGCTATTTTAATTATATATTTATCCAAAAATTATTTTTCTTGTATTCTTTTTTGTTTGTTTGTTTTTTAAAGTCCCAATCTCCCCACAGTGGAAATTGAGAAAACATAGCAAAATAAAGTAGAGGAGGGAGCCTGTGGTTTGCTTTTGGTATTTTGATGCATGCAATAAGTAGGATACTATGTTGATTTTTTTTTCTGTTAAAGAATTGAAATTATAAGCAACAACAACAACAAAAAAAAAAGGAATTGGAATTATGCATAAATTTTATAGTTTTTTAAAATTAACATTTTCATTATATCTTTTTAAAAAAATATATACATCTTCTATTTGCCTCTGGAATTTTATTAATGTTTTAAGTGAGATCATGAGAAAATATTATATCTGGGTTGTTTTACTCTTTCCAGTTGTTATTTCCCAATTATAGTTTAATATTACAGTTCCAAGATTGAAAAGTACACTGTTCATGAGTTTCTTTGTGTTTTGTATGTAGACAATTCTAGAAGTTTCCCCAGACTTTTATCTATGGAAAAGTTTGCATTGCCATGAAAAGATTGTTTAGCACTTATTTTATTTTGATATTTAACAAAATTAGTTTGTGACTCTCTACTAACCTGGAAAATCTTTGAAGGCAATTTCTTTTAAATTTTATATTCACATGCTCAGTCCCTTATTCATATCAGCAGGGAATAAGTATTAAAAATATTAATTCAAATTTAAGTTTCAGGGTTAATTGGGTCATACCTGTTTTGTAATAACAGGTATTGACAACATTGTTTTGTAATACAATGTAGAATTAGTTGTAATGAGAGGTATAAATTCTTAATTTGTAGAATATACTGAAATTCTTAACAAAGTACAGATAAAACACCTTTTTATCACAATTCAGATTTGACAAATGTTAATATTTTGTCACATTTACTTCAGATATATCTATATTTCTCTTTCTTTTGGAAATAAAATGTCTTAAGAATAGCTAAGACCTGACCTCCTTTTCTGTTGCTCCTTCTTGTCTTTCCTTTCTTTGCTTCTCTCCCTTTAAATTGTATCTGTTTACCCCAAATTGGTAGATAGGCCATCCATGCATACTTTTTTGCCATATTTGTTAATGCCATATTTGCAGTCTCTTTTTTAATATATAATTTCAGTGATTTATCCATAACGTATGTTTGTCTAGTATATTTATTTTAAATGTTTTATATTATTCCGTTACATCAATCAGCAACTTGATTTATCCGTAGCACTACTGATAAGGTTATTCACAGATTTTGACAAACAATACTGCAGTGAACAGACTTAAGTCTTTCCTTGTACACGTGTATGAGACTTTTAGTGTCAGTTTTTCCTAGAAGTGAAAATACTGGATTGTGGGGTATGTGCCTCTTTGAAGTTACTAAATATTGCCAAATTGCCTTCTCTAATTGGTTGTATAAGTTTATATTCTCATTCTGCAATATATATTGTTTCCAAGCTTTAGTCTCATCTTAGTCTGACCTCCTTATAGATAATACTACAATAATAATTTATAATTATTGTGTCTATAGCCTTAGCCTATATAAAGTATTTTTCCTTTTATTATAAATATTTTTCTATATTTTGATACTAATTCTCTGTTATGAGGAATATAAATATCACTAGCATGTCTTTTAACTTTGTGTATGATATATTTTGTCATGTAGAGTTTAACTTTATATCTGGCCACATCCGTCTCTTATAGTTTCTGTTGTGTCTCAAATAAAATCTTTTACTTTTTTTTTTGAAAAGATACTCTGCTATGGATCAAAAAGTTATTTTTAATATTTAAGTATTTACGTATGAGATAGTGCCTATTTTCTCTATGCTTATACAATTGGAATGTGTCTTCTTTTGTGCAGGTCTGGGGTCATTTCACAGTGTTTCTTTTACACATGCCATTAATATTTTAGAAAGTTTTCAATAGATGTCATTTACCTATAAGAGTCTGGCTGTACATCATAAGGACATTGAGTGGTACCAGCAGTGTGAACTCTGTGTCTTTTAGACATGCTAAGAGTTGATAATATTAGTTTATGTTTTGAAAATAAGAAATGTGAGACTTCTTTGTTATACATGATCCTTTTTAATTGGCTGGCTGGGAACATTTCTGCTTGTGGGAGTTTTTCTAAAACAATTTTTAAACAGTTGTCTCTTAATTTAAATGTTACTGTTGTAGTTTAGTAGCAGAGTTATATTTAAAAGACTGTAAATAGATTTCAGATAATTGATTTTTTAAAAATCCCTCTCTGCTTTTGTGTATTTCCTCTTTGGATTCATTGTTTCTGGACTTTAAACTTGGAAGATTCTTTCTTTCTTTCTTTCTTTCTTTCTTTCTTTCTTTCTTTCTTTCTTTTTCTTTCTTTCTTCTTTTTTGTAATATAATAGACATGGGTTTGTGGCATTCATATTAAAAATGGGTAATTTTCCTTATGGTCCCTGTCTTCCTGCTGGGTTGATAATGTTTTGATGTATTTTTCTTTTGCTCTGATGAGAGGTCTGCTGCTGCTGCTCTGACATATTCATTTGGATGAATAATTATAACTTGCACAATGTCAAGCTGAAGATGGTAGGGTTTTGTGCGTCATGACAAGTCTAGTAGCCAGTGCAGGTGTCTCACAGCATGATCAGCAACAGCCAGTGTATTCTGGCTCAGAGGAGACATTTAGAGTAGTAAGAAATCAGCACCAAGGGCAAGGCTGCTGCTACAATTGCTGCCATGATATGTGCCAAAGAAACACAAAGTGCTTCTCAAAGACAAGTATCTAAGCACCTTGTTTTAGATATGTACTTTATTTGTTTGCTCAGTTAATCTTTTATAGATTTTAGCATAGATTATAAGAGTATCTCATGATTTTATTCTACTTCCTAACATCACAAATGCTTCAAAATATATCTTTAATAATTGTTTTAGACTTTTACATACATGTCAGATGTATAAATATTGTTGACTGAGACTATAGAATGCCCTAATGTCAGACTTTAAGTGCACTGATAATATGATTATATAAAAACAAAATTCCTTTTGTCCAGGTCACTGATCAAGCAAAAATGGATGTTAAAATTGCAATTTTGCCTGTATGTATGCCACTAAGTGCAGGCTTGGTGAAGTATTCTTGCCATGGGTAGCTGGAATTTTCAGGTTTAATGTGGTATAGTAAATCGTAGTCTTTATATTTTTTATCATGGAAATCTTATATTCTTGGAATAATGCCATGAATGCAAGAAGAGTAAAACTAATGATAAAGCCTCTGGTTGATAATCCAATGTTGAGTGAAAAATTTGTAATTAAATAAAGCAGTCCTATTGCATAGCAGGGAGCATGATCCATTAGTTAGGGCGGCATATTAATAGTTGGGTATTCTAAGTTCTTTTTATAGTTCAGCCATTAATTTAATTGTATTATTTCAGACAAGTCATGTGACTGCCATTTGCCTCAGTTTATATGTACTGTATATGGAAATGGTGAACCCTTTTTCTTTCATGGATATGTCAACAACAACAAAAAATCTGGTTTAAAGCAAACACAATGTTGGGGCAAATCCTCCCAGGTTTTTACTCTAATGATCCTGTAGAAGTTCTTTTGACCAGCCATTTTTTTTTTTCTTTCTATTTTTCTCTTCTGTTTTTGTTTGAGGACTTATAAATACTGGA